GAGAATTACAGCCAGGAGAGCTCATTGGGAACTATCCCTGACCATGACAAGACCTGCCTCAAACCAAACTACATTCTCCTGAATCTGGAAAAAAAAAAATCTCTCCCTGATATCTCCTACCATTTCTCCTGTGAATCCCAAACCCCAATGGAACATGGTATTCTCTCAAGAGGAACAGCCTTCCTGTTGTTCACCTGGATATTATTTTCCCCAAATCACTCTGGTATTATTTTCTAGAATTATAATAGTCATGGAAAATGAGATGGTGTGACTCAATAAAGATTACACAAATGAATTCTGACTTGCTGCGACCCTTGTCAAGATTTTCCAGATACAGAATACTCAGAAGTGGTTTACCATTCCCTTCTTTGGTGGTGGTAGGGGGTGGTTTGGGATTGTTCATCTAGCTCTTCCCACAGGAGGCACAGTGGGGAATTGAACTCCCAAACTCTGACTCCACAGCCAGATAACTGAACCACTGAGCTATCCAGCCAGCTCATTAATTCATAGGGTGACCATAACTTAGAAGTGGCTTGATGACATATCACAGTAACAGAGACATGTGTCCCCAAAAGTGTGGTAGTCATTACTCTAGCCTGTTTGTCTGAACTCTCAGTTCATCTAAGACCAACCCATCTACAGTATTTGCCTGCTCATCTACTGCTCCTATTCAGCCATTAATCTTAATAGAAGAAAGACAGTTACAAGCATTCTCAGCCAAGGTTCCCAGGATCACAAAAGACCCATTACATCAACCAAAATGGTCACTAGGAACAGTCATAAGTGTCCCAAAGTGAGATATTTATGTGGGGTCTACACATATCCCCTCAAGTAACCCACATAAAAATAGAAATGTATAATTGCTAAATCATTTCATCAAGTATCACCAGAAAGGTAACAACTCATTGAGGATGTAATCTTGATAAACCTTGAGGCTTTAAGATTGTAGTTTTATGGACAGCTTCCTGTTGCTCATAAATGGGGATCTTTCATCACAATCACAAATAAGCAGGCTATCAATATCATGCAATAGTATTTCAATTAAGCTTTTACTTACCTTGGTATAGATACCAATCAAATGGTATCTATAAGGCAAATATAGGCATTTAAAATGCCAGCTCATGCTTAAAATGCTGTACCATAAGAAATGAAGCATTCTAGCCCAGAAAACACAGTAAATGTGTGATTTGTTATATACAAAATCCCCGGACAAAATCTTCAAGTGTGGCATCAACACAACACCGTGTTTTTTGAACAATGCTGTATTTATGTACCAGAACTCTCCAAGCACCTCATGCTATCTTCCAAAATATAATAAACTGTACCAAGTAGTAATATCCACAAAACATAACCATGCATAATACAACCTTCAAAGTATTTGCTTATAACTTCTAAAATACTTCATAAGGCAAACAAAAAAAAAATTAAATGTGTTGCTGGTGGTGGTAGTTAATTAAAATATTCTGTTTCAGATATAAGAATATGCAGCAACAAGTAATTGAATCATTTAATAGTGCTATTGTTCACAGAGCCAAATTTAAAGAGACCCTGTAGCATATTAAAGTCTGACAAATATATTATGGTTATCTTGGACTAGAGTCCATGAGACATACCAATGTTTTGCTGCAGCCTGGAGTTTACTGCTACCTTGGATGGGTGGGCAATCTAATCTACAAAAGCAGCTTGTTTGTGAGTGTGATAAAAGACAGGCTCAAGATGTGAAAAAAGAATGTATGATAAGATCATACATAGTGGTGCTAGACAAAACCAATAAAAAGTTCAGGAAAAAGGGCACGTGGCATAGGAATTCTGTTAATAGCAAGTTATATAAACTTTAAACTACATCTCCAATCACAGATCTATAGCCACAACTACTACAACTTCAAAGTCTACAGAAAAATAATGGCCAAAATCCTTTTGCATAGTTAACACCAAATGCAAACAGGGTAACTTCAACTTCAAAGTCTACAGAAAAATAATGGCCTAAATCCTTTTGCATAGTTACACCAAATGCAAACAGGGTAACTTTGGGAGGCAAATTGCCTCAAGTTAAGAAGTCACTGCAGGCATTATCTATTGTGTATTGAGCCGTATGACTCAACATAATATATAAAGTCTACTGTGCTTTCTTAATTTGAGGCAATTTGTCTCCAAAATTATGCTATTATGTCCCGTTATGCTAGTAGAGCTATGCAAGAGGATTTGGGCCATTATCTTATAAATAAATTCATGAATCCGTAGACTTCTTAGCTGCTCTGAACAGATAAGCTTCCTCTACCACCGCCACTACTACCAGCAACTGCAGACTGAAGAATTAGATTTTAAATCTGAAAATGTAATCTCAGTAAAAAATTAAGAAAGTGAACAATTAAGTTAGTAATAAATTATGTATTTAACTAATAATAAATATAGACAGAAGCATCTTGTTCTAAGTGAGCCAGAAAGAAGCTGCACATGCAAAACATAAGTTACTATACATCATGGTGGTAAAGGCTTTTAGGCTGTTTCTTTGCCAAAAGCTCCATTATGAGGATACTTTTATGGAACGGCCATGTATAATATCTTGAACTTGGAAGCATAGGAACTATTTTTAGATTTATACAGTGTAATTACTAAGAATAATTACTTGTCACTTTATAGGAAGAAAGACTGATCCAACTAGTATGTAGAATAATTTATTCAACAGTGAGCTATGGTGAAGATTGAAAACACTCAACTATACTCTTCCACACAAAATTATCATGGAGGTGCAGTGTTAGTCTGTTGCAGATATAATGAAGCCCAGTGTCATGAGCTCAGCCGAAGAAGGCCTGGAATCAGAGGGGTTAACTACAGCTAAGTAAAATGCTCGGCAATTAGTATCACAGACTGCTGAGTCACCACCAGATTCTCCTAAACTTCGGCAGAGACTCACAATGCAGAGGCCTGAGGCTCGCATGAATGCTTCTCATAGGAACATCAGGTCGACCAGCCCAGAGTTTTAACAGGCTGGAAGGCTTCTAGAAATTTGTTGATTGTTGCTGCTATATAATTTGTGCTCAGAGGCTTGGGAGCAACAAGTCAATTCCCTGGTTTGTGTCCACGCTCCTGCTTGTCTTGAACCTTGCTCTCTTGATCCTTGGCTTTCGGACTCTGACTACGGTTTGTGATTTGGCTTTGACAATTTGGCATCTGTTTTGTATCTCCTCAACTTCTAACCTTGGACTGGCTTATTGGACTTTTGCCTGCTGAATCCCCTGGGAATGTGACATCCAGTACCCTATTGCTAGCCCCAACTAGAACAGACTTATTGACTCATTGGGCTTAAGATAAATGTTGAATTACCAAGCAGTTGCTGGTAGATCTACTCTCATGTAGAGACTAGCAATAGTTCTGTGTCATCTGAAAGACTAGCAAGTTGTACTTGGTATGATCTTTTGTGGACTTTAGCCTATTGCATCTTTATTTGTTCCTGACAAACAAAATTACTAGTCTTGAAGGTACCACAAGTCTCTTTGTTCTTTTTTCATGAAGATTAATCCAGAAACCACTTATCTATGTGTTTGCCTCTAGTTAATAGGCATCAAGTGGCAACTGAGCATTCAGCCTCTGTTCTTTTTTTTTGTTGACTCAGGCAGAACTACACAAGAAAGAAAGGAGCCAGCAGTGAAAATTGACCAATTGCAAGCTGCCCTCACCACTTCAGCTACAAGTAGTATATTCATCTTCTTCCTGACATTAAGCCTTCTGTTCTTCTTCTTATGTTCTACATGTTATCCTTGTAAAATGATTCTGCAAAACATCATTGATTCCTCTTGACAGGAATTCTGCCAATACGAAATCAGAGCATGAGGTTTTGCACAGAGAGAGAGAGAAGAGGAGGAGGAGGAGGAGGAGGTGGCAGTACAGGGACTGGCCCTGTGTTACTCAGTCATTACACATAGTCCTGCTCTCAAATTCTTCAAAATATGCTAAGCAAGATGAAGTTTATTCAGGTGAAAAGCCAAGCAGATTTTGGTTGTCTCTCACAGTAGTTTGCCCCAATTGTGCAGAAAACATCCAAAAAAGATACCTTTTTTAAAAAAATAGAGCTCTCAGAGTCTCTCAGCCCCTATGGTTATGTTGGCTGAGAGATTCTAAAAGCTGGCACTCAAGAAAGAAACCTTTTTAAGTTCTCTATGTACACTGTGAGACTGATGTTAGCCAGTTTATGCATGGTAATGCAATAGCATAATCTGGAAACCATGAATCAATGTAACTGTGTGATACAACCTATATTATATTATA